GCTTTAGGTGAGTTTGCTTCAAGATGAAACAATGGATGCCCAAAAAAAAAGCCTAACATTGCTTCTTAAAGCAACCAAATTTTCTCTGTTTTTTTTTCTCTCTCTATTATATTAACTTCACCAATCACCACCATACCTTTCCTCACTCTTCTTCCAAGTGAAGTTATTAACCAAAAATTTACAGAGAGGAAGAAGAGTGCTGCAATGGAGGAGGTTGTGGTGGAGAGTCTTCTTAGTGGTAACAGAGAGGCTCAAATAGAAGCAGCTATTGAGCTAAGTAATCTAAGCAGGAAACAAAGACAAAAAATGTCAGAAAAAGAAATAATTTCTCCTTTACTCTCAATGTTACAATCAAAAGATTCTATCACAAGAGAAGTTTCTCTATCTGCATTACTCAGCCTTGCCTTTGGCAGTGAAAGGTTTGCTTTTTCGTTTGTTTTCTATCTGTGCTAAAACAATACATATGCTTGTGTTACGCGGTAGTAATAATCAGGTTTGTTGCTGAACTTACAGGAACAAAGTCCGGATTGTGAAATCTGGCGCAATACCGATGTTACTAGAGATTCTCCAGTCGGAAACAAAGATGGTAGTAGTTGAAATGACCATGGCGTTTCTTCTGATTCTCTCTTCCTGTAACAAAAACAAGGTTAAGATAGCATCAACTAGGCTGATTCAGCTTTTAGTTGGACTTATCGGGATGGATAGACTAACAATTCAGGCCAAGGTTGATGGCATTGCAACACTACACAATCTATCAACTCTCCATCAGATTGTTCCCTTGGTTATAGCTTCTGGAGCACCGTATGCTTTGCTTCAAATCATCAACTTTTGCGATAAATCTTCTGAATTGGCTGAAAAGGCAGCAGCTTTGCTCGAAAACATAATTTCTCATTCACCAGAATCAATCTCCAGCATCAGTGGAGCGATCGGGGTTCTTGTTGAAGCCATTGAAGAAGGTTCAGCTCATTGTAAAGAGCACGCCGTGGGAATATTACTCGGTGTATGCAACTACGACAGAGAGACAAACAGAGGAATGATTCTGAGAGAAGGAGTGATGCCTGGGTTGCTTCAAGTGAGCGTAGACGGGACACGGAGGGCTAAAGATATGGCTAGAGAGCTATTGCTTCTATTGAGGGATTGCTCTGAGTATGTCATCAAGAACAAACAGTCAAAGATTGAGATTTTTGAGCAGATCATGAGGGACATTGATCAAGAAGGCGAGCGAATACCTGGAACCATGTTGAAGTTGGTGGAAGAGATGATTTCAAAACTCAGCACATAGGCCCTGGTTCAATCACAGGTCTTGTATATATTAAATCATGTACTGATTCCCACTTCTTCTTAGGAATAATGATTCACCTTCTTATTGCTTTTGAATCCCTCTTAACATTAAAAACCGCTCTTCTATTCCAAGCAAATCAACCCATTTTACAAAACTAATGAATGAGATTTGTGGTAGAATTGACAAACTAGTGACCAAGAACCACCAAATGCCTAAACGAGGAATTGAAATGTAGCTTGAATTGGCATATTGTTCCCACTGTTTTTCATCAACCCAAAATCCCCCTCTTACTGAATCATTAAGACATAAATCAATGGATTCTCCTCCATTAAGCTCAGTGCCATTGCAGTGTTTATTTATTCATCTGTTTCTTCCACTAAAATCTCTCGACTTTTCCATATTCAGACAAAATTTAATTGATGCACAATATCTTCCATCTTCTGAAAAAAAATCGATTCCACTTGTATTGAGCTCTCTTCGGCATTTCATCGAACAATTGGCGCGCATCCACGACAGACTAAAAAATGGAATACAAAACGCCGAAGAACCTTCGAATGACGTCGTTTCATTTTTATCGTTAAACCGGGCTTTTGCTAATGTCATTCTTTTAGCCCATTGGGCTATAAATTGTTAGTTTACTTTTTTTTTAATTAGTGGTAATGACAATTATTATTTTTAGTTGGGAAAATCAGTTCTTCTAAGAATATATTCCACTACACAACCAAGCTAAATTAATGTATCAAAATCTACACCAAGTATTGAAGTTGCATGACGACATTCACAAACAATCATAGGTTATGTGGCTAATACCATAACCATCACTTTTATCATAGTTTTAGTGTAACGCACGACAAAAACGATAAAATCCGGTTAGACCCGAATTGAAAAAAAAACATTATCAGGCCTGGTTAGTAACTAACCCAAAACTTAAGCTACTTGATCTGTGTTTTTTTAAGTAACAGTGGCCTTCTAATATATTTGGAGCTACTAGTTTATGTTATTTACGTTAATATGAACCCAGTACAAAGACAAGCAAGTACAATCATGAATTCAAACAAAAAAAATCATCCAAAAAATTTGGAAAAAACAAAAATAAGTCGATTGGCTAGCC